ATAGGGCGCGTGCGCTCGCCAGACAGACAGAGAGAGACAGAGAGACAGAAAGCGAGAATCACCCCCCAGGGGGGATGGTCACACTGCAATCCCTTCTCCTCCATTTTCCTCTCGGGATCTTGGGCACGCACGCACATGCGCCCTGCGTGTTTTAAGCCACCGGGTCCGGGACGCGAACCGCGGTCAACTACGTGGGAGTCCAGCAACATAGCCATTATGCTAACTGCTTGTTCCCTAAATTTATTTTTAAAGAAACCTCTTTTTTGAGATTCAATTAATTTTAAGAAGATCTGAGGTTTTTTTTTTCTTTTATGCAAATAGGGAATGAATTAATCAGAATCCTCAAATCATAGGACAGTGTCTTTCATGTATATAAGAGCTCATTCAATTGACTGGTCTGCATTATCATTTCTTCTTTTTTTAAATAATTATTTATTTGGGACCAGCAGTTAGTGTAATGGCTATGTCGCTGGACTCCCACGTAGTCGACTGCAGTTCAAGTCCCGGACCTGGTGGCTTAAAGTCATGCCAGGTGCGTGTGCGTGCGTGCCCAAGATCCCGAGAGGAGAATGGAGGAGAAGGGACTGCGGCATGGCCATCCCCCCTGGGGGGTGATTTCTCACTTTCTGTCTCTCTGTCTCTCTCTGTCTTTCTGGCGAGCGCACGTGCCCTATAGCAAAAACCTCTCAAAAATTATTATTTATTTAGCTTTTAATGAATTAATTAATTAATTTTAATTTGCCCAGAGAGGGACAGAGAGAGAAAGTGTGAGAAAGCAAGCCAGCAGGTCCAGGACTCAAACCATGGTTGGCCATGTGGGAGTCCAGCGCCCTTAACCACTACACCACCTGCCAGCCCCCATAATCTCTTTACCAATTACCTTTTATCCCTGTTCTCTACTCCATATCTCTCCCTGCTGCAGTCTAATGTATTTAGAGGTCCTTTGACCTTTTGTTTGTACGACTCAATAAGACATATACCCTGTGGGGACCAGCAGGTGACGTGGTGGTTAAGGTGCTGGGCACTCCCACATGGCTGACTACGGTTCAAGTCCTGGACCTGGGGGCTTGCTTTCTCACTTTCCCTCTCTCTCTCTCTCTCTCTCTCTCTCTCTCTGGTCAAATTAAAATAAATGAATGAATAAATTAAAAATTGAATAAATAATTCTAAAAAAAAAAGACATATACCCTGTGTACATGTACTGTACTTACTTTTTAAAAGAATTATTTATTCCTTTCATTCCATTTGTTGTTATTAATTTTTAATTTGATCAGACAGAGACAGAGAGAGACAGAGACAGAGAAAGGGGAAGCGAGAAAGCAACCCACCAGGTCCAGAACTCAAACCATGGTCAGCCATGTGGGAGTCCAGTGCCTTTAACCACCACGCCACCTGCTGGCCCCCTGACATACTTTACTTTTCACCTAAATGGTGTGATGCTAATATCTCATCTTTTTTCTGTTGTAAAAATTCTGCACTGTGTTTTATAATCTACCCACGTGGGTCTGTGTACATATGGTGCATAATTAGTTTTCTTTTTATATTGTCGCTGAACTCTACGGGTCATTTCCAAGGGAGTTCAGGCCATCTGGAAGTTGGACAGGTTTATACATTTTATCAGATTATCTTAGAAAAGTTTTATTCAACTCCCATGGATATTAAAAAAAAAAAAAGAATTAAAGGACTTAATGATCATTTATAACTGAAATTTCCAACAGTTAATGAAGCACAGAAAGTCGTTAATGTAAGTACTAGAATAGAATGACCTAGCAGAAAATACAGCCTTTGTCAAAACTGAAAGAAGAGTGGTACCAGCAGTTAGAGTAATGGCTATGTCGCTGGACTCCCATGTAGTTGACCGCGGTTCACGTCCCGGACCCGGTGGCTTAAAACTCACACCGGGTGTATGTGCGTGTGTGCCCAAGATCCCGAGAGGAGAATGGAGGAGAAGGGATTGCGGCGTGGCCATCCCTCCTGGGGAGTGATTTCTCACTTTCTGTCTCTCTGTCTCTCTCTGTCTTTCTGGCGAGTGCACGTGCCCTATAGCAAAAAAAAAAAAAAAAAAGAATTCATTTTCAGATTTCGAACTTACTTTCTTTTCATATTTTTAATAGGATTATTGCGACACCTCTAGCCCAAGCACTTGGCATCAAAAAGGCAACTCGAAAGATTACACCAAATGCAGTCCTAGAGAACTTCTTCAAACATTCCACAGAAACACCATTACATGTAAGTACAGATTCTTTGTCTTGGGGATTTAAAACTCTGGTTTCTTTCTTTCTTTAGTTATTTTTATTCATTATTAATTATTATTATTTTTAATTTGACCAGAGGGAGACAGACAGAGAGAGAGGGGGAGAGTGAGAAAGCAAGCTACCAGGTCCAGGATTCGAACCGTGGTCAGCCATGTGAGAGTCCAGCACTTTAACAACCATGCCACCTGCCATCTCCATACTCTTGTTTCTTAATGTTTCAGTCATCAATGGCTTACTGCAACAGTTCAAGAAATTTTGTCCAGTTACCATGATTTTTATTTTTTTGGAGAAGTTTTTGCCACAGGGCATGTGAGCTCTCCCAAAAGACAGAGAGAGACAGAGAGACAGAAAGCGAGAAATCACCCCCCAGAGGGGATGGCCACGCCGCAATCCCTTCTCCTCCATT